ACCAGTGAAAATCTTTCTTATCCATTTTCTATCCATGTAAACTACAACTGATACATATTCAAATTGTCCCACATTAACAATTATTCAACCTTTCTAAGGTACACCTTAAGCTGAAATTGACTATTTCCCCCTTTGTCGCTGATTTAGTCAAAACAAATAACAAACATTAATGTAGCGCTATACTTTAATTAGTATCGCTTTTAGTAATTGCTCATAACTATTAAAGAATTAAGACTCTGGTCTGAGGTTTCCTATTTGCCTCAGATATTAGGAGCTTACACACTAATAATTTTTAATGCTTACACTAAAGCATACTTCACGCTTACATCAGGCACTTCCCCCGTTTGATCAAGAAATTATTGAGAGATGAATCTAATAGATAAACAACAGTTAAAGTTAATTATTAATTTTTGTTATAGCCGTTACAGCTTGTGGGTAGGAACATAAAGTCGTCTCAGTGTTCTTTATATTATTGCATTTAGTAGAATCTAGTATAATCAGTGCTAGACCAACTCTGGACGTCAGCAACAACAGAATTGCGAGGCGCCTTTCATTACCGAATAATAATAGTAAATAATTTATTAGTTTATTACTAATCAAATTAAAATAAACACAAATTAAAATATATGAATTTTCCTCCTTTTAGCCTCACTCAATTTTTTTTTAAATTATATCATAATTTGCCCCAGCTGCCATTTTGATAGAAATGACAATTGATAGAATTGCGAATGGAGTAAGTCTGTCTTGGCTCATACTTTACAAGTAGGTCTTAATCAATTTTAACTTCCTTCATAGAAGCTGTACTGCATGGAACTGTGAGCATGATTCTGGTGTTACTATATAAATATTCTAATATACTTCCTCTAAATTATTTTCTTTAATATATCGGACGAGTTGTTTTATACCGTTCCTCAGTAGTACCGCTCCGCAGCAGTTCCTCATATAGTTCAATAAGCCAAACTATACCTAAAGCATTACAAAACTTGAGAAGATCTTTGTTTGGTATATATGATTCATATGTTTAATGTCATATATGAAATCAAGTTGTTCAAAATAGCTATTAAGTGCTTTGAATCGACAGTTGGTAACTTATTGTAAGGCCTCTGTGGGCACGAGGACGTCGGCGGTCGCTGACACGTAGTGCCGCCACTGAGTATAATAATTTAATTTCAGCTAAAAGAGAAAGTAAATAAAAGTTGTGGCGACAAGTTGGAAATATTATTGTTGAATATATGAAAAAATTATATTTCCACTCTTACTCCTACACCCGTGGACACCTTAACTTTAGCTTTATATAGTCTCTGCTGTTATTGGCTTCATTTGACTAAAAACAAACAGAAGACAAGCATATTACAAAATAATTAAAATAATTAAAATAATAAAAATAATAAAAAAATATAATAAAAATATTAAAAAATTTAAAAATTATTAGCAACAACGAAAAGTATCTACCACAAATGCGAATGTTAGGGATGAATGCAGATGTAGTGGAGGCAGTGTGACTTTAGTTTATATCTGTAAAAAATGAATTTTTCATTTGAAATTAATTTATATTATTTTTAAGTATTAAATACATATATTGTCTCATCATATTAGATATTACCTTTTTTCTAGTTTCTTGCTACTTGAAGACGTTGCTTCACATGCTTTACATGCTCCATCTTTGCAGGTGATGTGAAGTTCTTCAGTTCTTCAATAAAGCCACATAAGTGATTATTTGTATTGTTTCCAGTCTGTTAACCTGACCACGTTAAGTGCGTAATATCGATCATACATGGAACACATGTGTCTGTGCATTTTTTCTAACGCGGCATTAATGTGGAGCTGGAGCTAGTGCTGATGCTGGCTGAAGTAATCTATCTATCGCTTTATCAGATGTCAGTGCTATAGGTCGCACGTCTGTCTAGCTTTGTTTTTTTTTTTCCATCAGTTCGTAGTGCTTTTGGTTGTTTGAAGCGGCAGACTGTTTTTGTAGTTGTTGTTGTTGTTGCTATAGCTTTTGTCATTATTGTCGCAGCGAGGCAGCGAGGCAGTGAGGCATTGAGCAACCTTGTAAAGTGACGTTGAGTATGTGTGCCTCTGGCTACTATCAGTAGCAGCGAGCTCGTCTGATTTCGTAATGGCTTTGTTGACTGGGCCGGTTGGTGTGAGCAGCAGTGAATGAGTGAGTGATTGTGGGTTTTTCGTGCCGGTGCTGATATTTCATTTTATTTTTTTTTCTGCCGCTTTTTTTCTTTTTTTTTTGTTTTTGTTGTATTTTACAGTATATGAGCATGTTTTGTATGATTTCTTTTGCTTTTTTTAGCTTTTGGCAGCTGTTATTTTTTCACTCTTGTTTTTTTTTCTGTTTTTGTGTATCAACTCAACTGCACCTAACAATCCGTTGCTGGTCCCCTAGTAATTTATATATTTTATTGTTAATATTAGTAACAAAATATGTTATAATGAAAAACAATTTCAAAAACGCCAATACAAAAAGTATTTGTTTTAAAAAACAAAGCAAAATATAATAACTAAATATGCTTGACAGGACAAAAGTCCCATGAAAGAAGTTAAATGTACAAAAAACGGAAGAGATTAACCCTACGAATATGGAAATTTGTTACTCCTTTTTTGTTTTCGAAATAAAATACAAAAGCGTATGTTTTATTTTAAAAAACCATTTCATATATTTACACTTTTAACATTTATACTTTTAACCGTCCTGTTTGTCTGTCCACTGCAGCAACAACAACTACAACTGCAACAACAAAAGCAACATCAACAGCAACAGCAGCTTCCCTACCGGCAGCAGCAATAAGCAAAGTTAAATTATCTTTCTTAGTTCCGACCAAAAACAAAAAAAGAAAAGAAAAATAAGCACAACACAGCATTTCTACTCATAACAATCGCAGCGATAGTCGTCGACACTACTTTCGATACTCAAAATTTTGTTTTTATTGTTGTTATCGCTAAAGCATCGACAACCAACATCGACAGCCCGAGTATCTACATAACAGGCAAACAACAAAAATAGTAGGAGAAAATTCTTTCCCGCCAAAATGTAGAGCAGCAAATCGAGGCAATCGCATAAATCCAACTAAAAACCCACCAACACTTGTTCAAGAGCTTGAAATTATCTTCTATGCGTGTGGACTTTTACACTCAAAATGTTGTTGGTGTGCGGGCAAACCAAATGGCGTACACTTGACTACTTAAATAATTCCCCTTCACTAGCGATTCCCCATACGAAATGTTGGCTTCAGTTATTTATTCATTCGAGTATCGAGTGCTGTTGTAGGTATTTTTATCTGCTTGCCGCTGTCGTGCCACTGAAATTGCATGAGGAATCGTTTTTTGCTATCGCGCGCACTCGTGAATCACAAAGCTCATCGGCAGAAAGGCACCATTTTGTCGCATTCGTCACTGAATTCATTAGGCGAACATAACCAACTACCACCGGTCAAACTAAAGTTTTTGACATAAACAAAACGTTGCGCTTTAATTTGACGTAAGCTTCTGACAGTTCCGATTTTAATTGTTGATTTAGTTTTCCGATACTCGTTGGTGGCACGTGAACGTGAGTGTTTTGCAATATAAAGAAAACATAAACACAGCAATTCCATTTGAAAACAAAGGAATTGAATAAAACATAATAAAGTTATGAGAAAATGAATGAATTTGTTTACCCATTAATTAGCTAAAGTGCAGAACTATTATAAATAAATGCTTTAAGCATGTGTATGAGAAATATTTGTCTATAAACACTCAAAAGATATTTTATTCAAGTTTGTGAAAAAATAAAACTTTGCTCAGTGAAAGCAATCGGCAATTCTTCTTTCAGATGAGATGCCGCTAACTTTGATCTAGGTAATTCCAATATCAATATTATTTTTAACATTATAAGTGTAGCAACCACACAATTTCTAAACATTTCACTTAAGAAATGTAAACACTCCCAACCCCCTATCAATATTGTCCTGAACATTATGGGATGCCTTGGCTCATTGTTAGGAACCCACAATTTCTCAACATTTTATTAAAAAAGTGTAGACATCAACCCAATATGCTGTTGTGGTAGTCCGCATGGGTCTGCTTGTAAAATTCCTTTGGTGGGTGCTGAACGACACTTGGTCGTCGTGCTTGTCCCGGCTCGGCCGTTCTTGGAATCACCAACACAACATCATCATCAACAATATATGGCGCTATAGCACATTGTTAAAAACCCATGCTGTCTAACTATTTCACTTAAGAACACTACCAACAATATTGTTCTGAACATCATGTGGAGCTACATCCAAGTGCTGACTTTAAACTACAAAATGTCTTCATTCATATCTAACAATAAATATGACAAATTTTTTTTAATCCCATAGTGGCGTAAGTTTTCGGGAATTTGTTTTCAATCTGCCTACTTTTACATCTATTTGTGACACAATTAGATTCTAGAGTCAGTCTACGTATCTTGCATTTTTCTCAAGGTGCCCAACGCAGATTTTGGTCATTTCAAAGGCATCCATTAATGCCTGTTTGAAGCTTACTCCCTTTACATATCCTTGCAAAGCAGATGCATTCTGCAAGCATTCAACGTTTTTTTTTTTAAATAATCAAACCGATTTTCTATATATCCTATGTCGATTTGCTATTGGCCCTTTTTACATCTCCAATAAGAACAATTAACTTCAATCCTAGGTGCCCTTCATAGTCAGCAAAAAGAATGACTGCTTCGAGACTATGCTCCCAAATATGACTATAATGAATAATGTTCTTCATTCAAATCTATGGATATATATGCTATGAATATATAACATAGTTACAGCTATTAATTTTTACACGTACAAATAGACTGGTTAAAGTATACTATAGTCCTAGAAGGACTCAATAAATAAGTAACAAACTTTTTTATCATAAATAAATTAGTAGACTAATATCTCTTTTTATCTATCCATTATCTATCTACATCCTAACCCGTGTATTTATCTTGTAAATTCTCTTATGTTATCTGCTTTCCAGATTCGAGCGGGTTACAACTATATTAATATCTCTTAATATGATTAATATATTTTCAAAAAATTATTTTAAAAACATAATTAATACAAGTCACCTAAAATCAAGGCCAATGCAATATATTATATCCTTATAGAATCATTTCAATATGCAAACTATAGCCAACTCAACAGTAATAAATGACGATTACGAACATCCTGATAAACAAATTGAATATATACTAGAAAACGTACTCTGCGATGAAGTTGGATGCAGTGCGAGTGAAGACTATAAAACACTTTTAGAACAATATAACTCAGTAATATTGAGCGTCTGCCAATGTGATGAATCACAAAACTGTAGTGATTGTAGGCATGGTGGAAATTATCACTGGAATCATGAAGCAAAAGAGTTAGTACTACAACAAAAACGGAATGATCTCATTTATGAGTGTACAACCTTATGTACTTGTAACCCCAATGTGTGCCTAAATAGACTCGTACAAAATGGACCACGAGCAAATTTAAAAATTATAGATTCTAAAATATATAAATCTAAAGGTCTTATGACTACAAAAGCTATACCAAAAGGTGCATTTATATGTGAGTATGCAGGTGAGCTATTAACTCACGCAACAGCCACATACAGAATCAGACAAAATGAAAAGAATCATAAAATGAATTATATACTATGTATGAATGAAATAAACACAAGTGACAGCAATCGCCTGTCTACAATTGTGGATCCCAGTCTAAAAGGTAACATAGGACGTTACTTAAATCACAGCTGCACACCAAATTGCGAGTTGTTGAGTGTACGTGTTGATTGCTTTATACCAAAAATAGGTGAGTTCTTTCTAGCATCTAATATTTTATATTCTATTCTATTACATGTGGTCTTTATAGCTATTTTTGCCTCGCGTAATATAGCAGCTGGTGAAGAACTTTGTTTCCACTACGGCGGTGGTATGCAAACGTCAGTGGACGAAATAGCAGATCAAACAAATGCTAGTGCGATAAATCGAATTAAATGTTTATGTGGCACTGAAGATTGTGAACAATTTTTACCTTGTATACAATTTTAGTTAATAATACAAAAAAAAAGTTGCATTTTTTTTAATCCAAACAAATCCTTTTTTAATTTCTGTAATATAAAAATAAGTTATTAAGTAAAAGTAACAATATTCATTCCCAAACCATTACAGTTTATTTTGTAAATCACCACTTTGTGGCGGCAACTTCTCCAGTATAAATTGTTGTATGTCAAGCAATTCACGTTTCTTCAACTCATGCATTACATTACTGAGCGGAGTAAATTTACCTTTTACTCCTAAATTCGTTAAAGTCTTAAAGCTTTCCTCGCCCCATTCCATTGGCACCAATCTGTCTCTACTACCATGAAATTGAAGTAGTTCTGGCAGCACTGCATCTGGCTTTGTACGATTTTTTAACGAATCAAATACAATGGAATCCTTATTGAGAAAAGAGGAACAAGCAAACACACCAGCTAGATTAGTGTTAAGGTGGAAGGCTGTATGAATGGCTAGCGCACCACCCATCGAGAAACCTCCGACCAAAATACGATTCGCCGGTATGCCACTTTCAACTTCTTTATTAATCATTTCATGGACTGTCTCATAGATTTCCGCTAAGCTCTTTCTATTTTCCTTTGCATCAATGGCAATTGACCTTCGATCGAACCACACATTCGATAATTGGCCATCGTTTGGTGTGTATGGTTGGAAGGGTGCTGTCGGATACATTATTTTTATATGCGGAAATTCCATATCCTTGCCTAAAAGAAAACGCACCCATTGCAATAGATTCGATCCTGTGTCTCCTAAGACATAACTTGGTTAGGTAACTACTCTTTATTTCTACATTAGTTTACTTACCTGATCCATGGAAGAATATAACTGTTGCGCTATGCGTATTTGTTGGATTTATTGTCTTGGTTAAAAGCTTCATATTTTTTAAAGTAATATTCTTATTTTAACAGAAACAAAAATTTTGTTGACTGTTCATTAATATGCGATAAGATTTTAAATAAATTCGGTAAGTCAAAAAGGGCAATCAGCTGGAGTGGTTAGTGTTGTAAACAAATTTAAAATTCAAAACCGGTTACTTTTAATTTGCAGTACTAATTACTCTTAGCATTAAAGCCGATAAAACCATGCTAAACATACGTAGTATACTTTAGTATATATTTTTGAACCGTGCATATGCCTTTATCTAAACATATATATACTAAATATATATATATACTGTTCATTTACTCATACATTGCTACTCACAAGAAGAAAAATTAAAATAATTCAATATGTCATTCTTTTCTTTGATATATGTTATGTATATACATATCACTGATACATTCAAAATGCATGATTATGCAAATTATATCATGCTTAATACTTAAGCATGATATAGACGATGCTAAATGCATGCAAACCAAGTATGTCGTGCTACCAAATTGACAAGTATATATACCAAATTTTTTTAGACATGTATGTGGTAAAATTATACCTTGTTTCAAAGTGTATTGCAAACCGCATACTTGGTCTAAATACTTGGTCTACAAACATGTAGCATCGTCTATATCATGCTTTATTTAGAAATTTTATACAAATTTCATTGTTTAATATATAACAGTACACATTACCAAAAACTTTCCTTTCCATGGCTCACTAATAAACAGTTCTGATTTAAATAAATTACTTTCAGAGATACTCAAAGAGGCATGATTTCCCTATGCCTCTTTTTCCTTTAATTAATGGCTAGAGACACAAGAAAGCAATTTCGAAAAGTAAGTAAGCAAAAGTAAAATGGATAATATGTTAAAATACTTAATCATCGGTTAAACTATAATGTTATCGTAATCATCCAATCATCCTAATGTATCATGGCATATTATGTTTCAAATTGCTCTATATAAAAAAAAAATTGGAGAAGAAACATAATATTTTTATGTAAAAATATACATATAAAATAATTAAACCTAGATATCAAAACTTTTTATATAAAACAATTGACGTTGACGTCCTTCATATTTTTAAAATTGATGTATGGAGAGAGAGACATTGTAGGAACTCTTTAAACTCTTGCTTCAAAGAAATGAGAAAATCAATTTTGATTAATTTTTTTTTCAAATAATAAAATTTTTTTGTTACTAATAACTGTTGAAATATTTAAAATCAATTTAAATTAGTCGTAAATTTTCAAATAGTAATATTCTTTTATTGCTTACAATTGTTTGAGTATTTAAAATCAATTTTAATTAATTTTAAATTTTCTAATAGCAATATTATTTTATTCTTACAATTGCTGAAGTATTTAAAATAAATTTTATTAATTTTAAATTTTCTGGTTTTAATATTCTTTTGCTACCAACAACTGTTTTCTGTTTAGGTAATCGTGTCAGTTCACTGTGAATTAACAAAATGTAAGAAGCAGCATTTAGTAATTTTCTACAGAGTTCGAGTATTTTTTTGGCAATTGTTTATTTTTATAAGTTCCCTTTAAATTGTGCGAAAATATTTGTTTATATATATATACATATATAATTAATTAAGTGAAACATGTAAGTGTTTTTAAAATCTAAGTGTTAAAATTTAAAGTGTAGTCAAGAACTAAAAACTAATCAATAAAGAATCATGACGAAGTAATTTGCATGTATTCTGAGTTTCAGAGTTTGTTGTAAATAAATAATTTGTTTTTGCATAAATTAATTAAAATTTAGAACTTTTGATTGTTTCTACAAATGAACTAAATTATTTTTGTTATAATTACATTTTTTAAAATATTGAAATGATTTATTTTTTGCGTGTAAATTGCTGTTTTTTATTGCCCTTTGAAGTTTTTTTTCACTTTTTGATGCTGTGAACGTGATAAAATCGTTGAAGATTTCTTGTTTTCTTTAGCGAAAAGGCGAAATTTATTTATTTAAACAAAAAGTATTTAATTCAATCATTATTTGCGTTTATTTAAAATAATAACTGTTACAATGCATTTCCTTGCAATCAACGAGATCACCTGTTGAGCAAATTATAAGCACTGCTACTTTTGTTTATTTTAATTAAAACTAATTAAAAACTAATTAAAATTTATGTATTTTGTTTATAAGAAATTATATTATTGTGCTTGATTGAATTAAGTATAAATTTTAAATACTCTTGCACTTAAAAATATTTTGGCAATTGAAACGAAGAGGAAGTGACGCAGCAGAGGCGATAACGTAGTTCAATGAAACAAACCTTCGCTGACGTGAATTTAGAATTTGAGGAAGTACCAATTTATAAATGAAAAGCCTAAAGTCTTTGGAAAAATTAACGACAACATGACTCAACTGTATTATACCCAATCATAAAAGCTGTAAACTGTGAAATTTCTTATTCATTACTAGTGAATATCAGCTAATTTCGATAAGAGATAAAACTTTGGTATTTCAAAAAATTAAAAAATAAATTTCGGTTTTTTTTTTAAGTTAATGCCAGGTGCAAAAATATATCATAAATCCGTTTCTACAATCTTAATTGAATTAAAATTATTTTTTGGAATGACTATACAATTTAATATCATTGAACTTGCAATTCGTTTTGCTTGGCGAAAGATAATATTTTGAAAATAATAAAGTTTCTGCTAAAAGTCACGTCGGTATTTCATTCAGAAAAAAATGTGTTTGAATTATTTTTATAATGAGTTTTATTTTTATATACTGCACAGATTTTCTCTACTTTTCTCTACAAAGGCTCTAAAGAGAATGCTTTTCTCATTTGAGTGATTTTTTTTTCTGTTGTTGTTGGAGCCCGTGGGTATCTAAAAGAAATATCACATAACATGAAGAAATATCACGACGTGTATATGGGTTAGGAGCCCGTGAGGATGTGAAAAGCAGATTACATGAAGATATTATACGACGAATATATGGGTTAGGATGTGGATGAGTAGTGCTTGAGTGAGGGTAATACTTGCTCCCAAGTTTTTAAGGAATGGTGGTGAATCGAGTATGGTTAGGGCTTAAATTGAAATCAACTAAGATCAAGATTGCAAAAATGGGCCAATAGGCCTAAGTGGATACACAAGGGATCGCCGGTATAAGATTGAGAAACCTGGCCATTTTAATGGTGTAGGTCCAAAGTTAAATTGGACTAAGGTTGGTTTGTGAAGGATATATACGACGAATATATGGGTTAGGCTGTGGATGAGTAATGCTTGTGTTAGGGTGGAGGGAAAAGTTTTAAGAAAATGACGGTGGATTAGAGATGGTTAGGCCATTTTAATGATGTAGGTCTAAAGGTCAATTGAACTAAGGTTTGTTTGTTAAGGATATATATGACGAATATATGTGTTAGGGTGTGGATGGGTAATGCTTGTGTTAGGGTGAAGGGGAAAATTTTTAAAAAATGACCGTGGATTAGAGATGGTTAGGGCTTAAATGGAAATCAACTAGGATCAAGATGGAAAAACCTGTTCATTTTAATGGTGTGGGTCCAAAGGTCAATTGGACGTGCGTTTGGGCAGGAAAACAGATGAGTGATAGAATTTTTAATCGCCTTTTCTACTGTCATTATTGTGTTTCTCATAGAACAAATAACTACTTAGTTCCATTAAACGTGATGCGTGTACTTAGATTTCGAACTCAAATGGGCCTCTAGTGCATGCTGTGGATGCAAAGAATTTTCTTACTATAATGCGATTACTATAAAAGTGCATTCACACCAAAGCGAATTCTTGCAAACGAAGGAATATTCCCACATAATGGTACATGCATAAGTTCGTTCGATCGCAAGCGTTCGCTTTGGTGTGGATCTACCTTTAGGATAATGTTTTTGTTGCTGACAAATATGTATGTAAGAAATGTGTGTTTTTCAGTAAAGTAAATGGGTGGAGTACTATTACGGTTGAATCCCAACTAGTCGTGCATTCCGTAGGTAAAGGAATTATAAAAGGGAGTATTTGATCATTTTTAGCACAGTTATTTAACCGACAATAAGTTCCAGCATACCCACTATGAGAGTGATATGTCTATGCGCTAGATTTTTCTTTAATTAAGTGGGGTTAACGGGCTTACATATCTGTGCAAATTCTTGAACCTTCCCTTCTTGTAGAAAAATTTGTAGTAATTTTATTCAATATTACTATAATTATATATTATACAAAACTGGACTAAAGGCGACATGATAGGATCTTTTAGTTTCTGTATAATTAAAGATAATTAAGTATTTTTTTATTTAGGTGGTTATGTTGTATTGTTTTTACATAAATTAAGTACAAAAATGTTAATTTTAAATTAAGAGGATAAAAAATTTTTCAAGATAAGTGACTTAATATTCTACATAATTTAATATTAATTGAAATAAGTCTTATACGTAGTAAATATATTGAGTTGAACAACTATTAATAATAAAGATTATGTTTACTAAACTAATAACATATTTTTTTATAAGATAAATGTATACATATTGTATATACATTAAGACCGAAAAGTTTTCGGAAATTCTCATTTAAAATTCGCGCGCTGTATATTTTTCGATATTTTAAGTTTATGTAGTTTGGCAGCACTGTCCTTAATTACTATGCCAAAAATGAGCGCGATCTGTCAGACAGTTCGTTTACGGCAGCTGTTGAAACCAGTTCACCTCAGTAGGGCGTTGCGAAAAAAACAATGGAAAAAAATATTGAACAAAGAGTTTGCATCAAATTTTGTGTTTCGAACGAAATTTCGTGTGCAGAATCGTTGCGAATGCTACAAAAGGCTTATGGGGAATCAGTTTTATCGAAAACTCAAGTTTATGAGTGGTACAAAGCCTTCCAGGACGGTCGTACGACCGTCGAAGACATTTCGCAACGCACTACTGAGGTGAACTGGTTTCAACAGCTGCCGTAAACGAACTGTCTGACAGATCGAGCTCATTTTTGGCATAGTAATTAAGGACAGTGCTGCCAAACTACATAAACTTAAAATATCGAAAAATATACAGCGCGCGAATTTTAAATGAGAATTTCCGAAAACTTTTCAGTCTTAATGTATATATATTTATTTATATTATATATTTAAATTATTAAACAACGAAAAATGTTAATTCAAATATAAAGAAAATTGT